GAAAGAGGATTTTTGCTTATTAAAAAAAATATAGAACACTACTATGGTTTTTAGTTCTTACAGATTACAAAATTTTCTCAATGAAACCCCTTGTATTTTTTTAAAGTTAATTCCCCTTTTCTATCCCTTTGCAGAAACAGATATGGACATAGTCTAAGTGTGTACAAAATAGCTCAAAAGAAATTCAAGATCCACAAATTTAGAGAATCCATCTCAAATGTTCAGATGGGCAATTTTTGCCCAATCTGTGGTAGAGCATTCTGAGTTCCTATTGGTTTGATCAGCCACAATTGGACATATTGTAACTTGCTTCTAACATAGTGATGTCATTTTGGTCCTCTTAGAGAACGAAGGACAACAACCAATTAACTTGGTAGAGGTCTCAGTGCTGCAGCAGTAACAATAGCCCATATCTGTCTTGTTTTTCTGCTTTCCGCAAGCCTGGAGGAAAACTTATTACTTAATCAAGAAGTGTAGCACACGATTCAGTCACCAGATGGCACTACCCTCAAGTCACTGGTGGAGTGGTTTCATCAAGGGCATCCAGTATTCATGCATTGGCTTTGCCAAAGCCTAAAGTATCCCCATGTCTTACCACAGGGCAGTCAACCAACCAACTTTTACTATTCTCTATCCTATTACTTTGCTGGAAAATGATGCTGGCCAGCATCAAAGAAAACAAATATTGATACTAATACTGTCCTCTTAACATTTAGACATATCTGTCAGAAATCATTTCATTTCTATCTAAGTCACTTTTAGCTTGCAGAGACATATGCCCAAACTGGCATGATTCTCTATCGCTTCTGACATGACATGTTCCAAAGAAGATTTCAGCTAATATTTATAGGAGTCTTGAAAAAGAAGGAGATATCTTAAAATATAATACGCATTAACTTTCCAGAATTGGAATAACCAAGCTGCCATTCCTTTCTTCCTGGACCATTTCTATATAGTAATCAATGGGGTCCCTCCCATAGATCTCTATCAATCCAGAATCTAGATTAAATGAGACGCAGAATGAGTAGAAGATGGCACTTCCTGTGGGACAGACCCTCATCCAGTCAGGGAATAAGGAAAGGAGAAGACCCTTCAGTCTGTTCACTTAACGAAAGGCTTTTTTATCCCAAATCTAATACCTACCTTTTCTAGGGGTCTTTTCCAAGGGTCTGAAAAGGGCTTCAGAGGAAAATATCTTTTCTTAATATTCCTAGAGAAACTAAAGAGGAGAGGTTTATTTTTTGTTTTGGGGGGGGTTTTTGCTTAGGCAATTGGGGTTAAATGCTTGCTCAGGGTCACAAAATTAGTAAATATTTTAAGTGTCTCAGGTCAGATTTGAACGCAGACTCTCCTGGCTCCAAGGGTGAAGCTCTATCCACTATGCCACCTAGCTGCCCCTAAAAATGAGGCTTTTAATATGCTTCCACATCATATTAAAGTTTTAGACTAAGAGAAGGGACATGGAATATTACTATGAAATATGAGAATTATGAAAATTTCAATATGGCTCTTTCAGTGGCTACATCTGTGTCCTCCATTTGGGAAAGCTCTAACTCTTCATCAGCATTCTTACTTTTAGTGGCCATGCCATGTGATTTTTAAAATAAAGTAAGATGAATAACAATAAAACATTGTTTCAGAGCAAGAGTATAAGGAAGCTATTCTATCCAATCATCTAATCTACCCCCCACAACCTCCTCCTATGATGGCTGAAGGGTCAAAGAATAAATTTTGTGTTTGAAATTCACTAACATCAGCTCTGCAAACAAATGAAGAAAATGGTGTTAAGCACCAGGATTCATGGCAGCTGTAAGTCTGATTTCAGAACACTAGTTTCCCACAGCAAAGCTGGTCTCTCACCAACACAATGACTAGCCTCATCCAGCATTGCTCTCTGGCCACAACAATTCCTGGGTCTGTCTAATTTCTGTTCTAGAATCTCTGTTCTGCTTTTCTATCTCCACTGCTGTAAGTCTCCAAAATCTGTCCCACGTTTACCTTGTTGTATCAGCAAAGGTTGCAATAGCAGCAACCAACTTCAGGTTGTCCACCTCTTCCAGAACTTTTAATTTTGTAAGCCTTGGTAAGCTCTTGGCCACATGGAAAACATTACATGGAACAGCAGACCAAAAGTCTCCAAGGCAAAATCTAACATCAAGCTGTGGGGTAGGATCGAGTGACAACCTCATGCAACATCTTGTTCCATTTCTCAGCTTCTGCTTTCATCCTTGTTACTAATTCATTTGAAGTCAATACTGCTTTTGATAGCTTTTCATACCCTAAGGACTGTAGTATCTCTGGTGACCTTTCAAGCTGTCATAGGGATGAAATTTTGAAAGCCAAGTTACACAGGGAAGGTGTTTCATCTGACATTTTTTCATAGACATGAATAATTTTCTAGGAAACAGCATCCTGATCAGAGAATGAAGATCCAGAAAATTAAGTCAAAATTGTCTTCCTGAAGCCTGGCATGTCACTTTTATATCAACATGATGGATCTGGGTAAAGCCTGAAGATAGAGGATATCCTCTCTATTGTTTCTAGAAGATTACATTCCTTGGGCATGCCACTGAACAGAGATAGAGTTCTGCCCTCAAAACCCTAGGAGCATGGAAAGAGTGGGGAGCTGACTGGTTATAGACTTCTAAAAGGAAGGAAAGAAACAGGCATTTATTAAGTGCCTACTATATGCTAGGCATTGTACTAAGCACTTCACAAATATTATCTCATTAGGGACTATTTCTTTCTCAACCATTCTGTGCAGCTCTAAACACCACACCTTAAGTGGATGAAATCTGGCCTCAGACCAAACACTTGACACTTACTAGCTGTGTGACCCTGGGCAAATCACTTACCCCCAATTGCCTAAAAAAAAATTTTTTTTAAAGACTATACTACTGACCTAAACTAAGTCAGCTTAGTACATTTAAAAAAAACTTTAAAAAGATTTTTAGATAACAATCATTTCCATTTCCTTTTATGCGTAAAGAACAGAGTGCTCTCTCCACAACACTGTACTAGTTTCTTAAAGGTCTTGGGATCTCAGTTCTCCTCACTGTGGAACTCATTCCTTGAAGATCCCCTGCTTTAAAGTTCAATCACAGAATGTTAGAGCTAGAAGGAACTTTCAGAGATCATCTAGTCCAGGGTTCTTAACCTTTTTTTGTGACAGGAACCCACCCCTTTAGCAGTCTGGTGAAGTCTATGGATTCAGAAGAATGCTTTTAAAAGTACGTAAAAATAAAATACAGAATTATGAAGGAAAGCAATTATGTTTCAAGTTATGAAAACATTAAAAAATACAAACATTCACAAGTTTTTTTATTAAGAACCTTTGATCTGCTACAACCTTATGTTACAGATGAGGAAACTGAGACACAGAGAAGCTTACATAACATCACACAGAAAATTAGTAGGAGAGGTAGAATCTATATCTTATTGTTTGGGATTGGTATAGTACAATAGAAAGAGCACTCTGGAGTCAGAGTACCTAGGTCCAAACTTTGCCTCTACCTATGTGACACTCAACCTTCCTAGGCCTCAGTATTCTTATGATCTCCTGATTTGTAGGGCTAATCGAGTTACCCCACCAAACCTCCATTTTCACTGAGTGTACAGCTACTTTCCTTGGGAAGTTGGAAAGTTGGGAGATAAACATAGCATATTAAGTAGGTTCTCAGTCTTTTTTGTGTCATGCTGCTTGGGCATTCTGATGAATCCTGTGGACCCTTTTCTCATAATTTAAAAATGCACACAATAACATACATAGGATCAAAAAGGAAACCTAGAGTTGAACAGGCTGTCTCATTTGGTCCGCACAGCAACCCTATGAGGTAAGTGCTATTATAACACATTTTTACAGATGAGGAAATCAAGGCTGAAAGAGGTCAAGTGACTTTTCCTGGGTCACACAGCTAGTGTCTGAGGCAAGATTTTAATATCTAACATTTATATAGTGCTATGTGCCAGGAACTGTGCTGGGTTTACAATTATTATCTCATTTGATCTTCACAATAACCCTGCAAGGTAGGTGCTAATATTATTATCTCCATTTTACAGATGAGGAAACTGAGGCAAACAAGGGTTAAGTGACTTGCCCAGGGTCACACAGTTGGTAAGTGTCTGAGGCAGGATTTAAACCCATGTTTTCCTGACTCCAGATCCAGCACGCAAGTCATTGAGCAACCTAGCTGCCTAGTTACATTTTTTAAAAAATTTAAAAATTCATGGATTAATTAGGTTAATAATGTTCAGGACCAGGTTTTGAGGACACGCGACCCTTATACAGAAGGCTGTCGGTCAAAGCCAAAGGCAGAGAATAACCCCAACGGAACTGCAGAAAACAGGACCTGGAGGGACTGCGGGGGTACGCAACTCAGAGCTCTCTTCTCAAACCCCCTTAGTCCCGCCCCTGGAGGTGTACTGCCAATCTCTGCCGCAGAGAGTGATGGTCCCGCCCCTCATTGGGGACAGCCGGAGAGACGTCACGGGAGTTGAGGCGGCCCCACTCCGGGAAACGCACTAGGATTGGTTAGCCCGGAAGCGGCGAGTGACGAGCGGCGCAATGATTGGCGGGCAAAGGAGGGCGCTGCGAGGCAGGGGGAAGGGAGGGGCCTCGGCAGGCCTGGGTTTTGAGGCAAGCCCTGGACGTTTGTCTCCATGCTTTGTGGCTGCTGTGGGAGGGTTTGGGGGCTTGACTGGGTGGAGGTGGGGTGGGAAGTGAGCCGGGACGACTTTTAGGAAACTTATTCTAGCTTTAGTTCCGAGGGGACCTCCGAGTCGGGGAAGGGTGACCGGAAGCGAGACTAGGACTGACCGGAAGTGAGGCCTGTGGAGGGGAAGAGGAGAGAGCAGGCCCCGAGGGGTGGGATACTTGTGGGGAGGGTAGGGGGTGGGGTGGGTGGGGAGCCGGGAGACCAGCGGGTAGGGCTGCCCGGGGGGCGGGGGCTGGGGGCCGGGGGACGGGCCGGGTCGGGGAGGGGACTGGCTGCAGCCTAGGGTGGGACGGCGGGGAGATCCGGGTTCTGTGTGTCTGCGCTGGAGGAGCTCCAAGGAGCCTCGCCGCTTCTCCCGAACCAGGGGCCAGGCAGGGGGCCCGGAGTCCTGGGAGGGGCAGCCCAGGGCAGAAGTCCGGGTGTGGGGTCGGGGTGGGCGTACGCGGACTTCCCTCTAGCCGCAGCTAGGTGGAGCGTAGTTGCACCTCGCCGCCCCGAGCATTGCTCGCGAAGCCCTTTGCTTAGCGCAAGAAAGGCCGCTGTCTCCAGGGGGCCCTTTGGAAGGAGGCGGGATGGCCTGGGCGCTGAAGCTGCCGCTGGCCGACGAGGTGATCGAGTCCGGACTGGTGCAGGACTTTGACTCGAGTCTGTCCGGGATCGGGCAGGAGCTGGGCGCGGGGGCCTATAGCATGAGGTGAGTGGCTTGTCCCTACATGCCAGACATTTGTGGGTTTTGGGTGCTTTTGAACAACAAAAGGTTTCCCTGAGAAAGTGTCTTCTGGTGGAGAGTGGAAGAGATGTTTTGGGTGTGGACTTGAAGCTCTAACTTGGGTGGAACACTCTTCTCCTCCCTCTCCTCTCCACTGTCCCTCCTCCCCTTTTCCCTCTCTTTTCCTCTCCTCTCTCCTTTTCTCTTTCTTTCTCTCCTTTCTATTTCTCCTCTCTTCCGTCTCCTCTCTATTTTTCTGTTTTCTCTTATGTATCTCCTTCTCTCCTCTTCCCTCTCTTCTCTCACTACTCCTTTCCTCTCCCCCTCTGTTCTCTCTTTTTTCTATTTTCTCCCGTCTCTCTCCTCCCCTCTTCCGTCTCTCCTCTCTTCTCTTTCCTTCCCACCCCCTCCATCTCTCCCCACCCCCCTCCCCTTCCCTCTACACTCAGTCTTACTTCTTTGGGTGCTAGATGTAAAGTAAGAAGTGAAGCAAGAGGTTGTTTTGGGATTTCGTACGTCTTGGGCAGGAGTGATCTTAATCAGGATGCAGAAATGGATGGTGAAAAGTTCCGCTTGGTTTTTCAATTTAGTGGGGCTGTGGCGAGTGTCTGTGTATACTTAGGTTAGTAGAGCTGGGCTTGGGGTTTGGAGTTTATGTGCAGGTGCTGCTGCCGGAGCGCTGGACACATAGTAACTTCTTAATAAATACTTGTTGAAAGGAAATGAAAGGCTTACTACACCTTAATAAGTGGCAGATGCACTCATCATTTATATGGGGGTAGGCAAACTGTGTTAAGTGTGTGATTTTTAAAAAATTGCCTATATATTTTATTTTCATTATCTCTGAAATTTCCCACTGTATACCTCCCCCAAACCTTCCCAGAGAACCATCCCTTGTAACAAAGAATAAAAACATATCCCCCCAAAATCTAGCATCATATGCAGTGTTGCATATCCATGATCCCCTCCACCTCTGCAAAAAAACAGGGGAGACCAAACTTGGTCATTGTAATTTTATATATTATAATTATATTAGTGAATTATAATTCAATTTCAGTTGGTTTGTTGTTCTTTCGATTTTCGTCGTTGTAGTTATTATGTATATGGTTTTCCTGGTTAAGTTTACTTCACTTTTTATCATGTTGCCTCTTTCCAGTACTTCTTTGTATTCAACATTTTTGTCATTTCTTATAGCACAGTGATATTCTATCACAGTTATGTATTATAATTTGTTTACTATTACCCAGTCTATGAACATCTTTGTTTCCAGTTCTTTGGTACCACAAAAAGTGCTGCTGTAAATATTTTAATGTATATGGGACCTTTCTTTTTCCAGTTGATCTTCTTGAGCTATTTGCCTAGTAGTGACCGTGTGTAATGTGTTTGTTAATTGAGCAGGTCTATTTTTGCTTCTGTCTTTTTATCCTCAGTACTTGGTACATGGTAATTGTTTCCTGCATGCTTGTTGAATAAATGAAAGATTAGCATTTTTTCTCCTCATGAAATATTATTTTACTTATTTCTTTCTCAACCAAGCAAGCATTTTTTAAGTGATCACTGGGTACCAGGCACTGAGGATAAGAAGACAGAAGCAAAATAGTACCTTTACTCAGGGAGCTTATATTATAATGGGAGAAATAAGAGGGGTACACATACATTCAAGGTAATTTTTGGGAAAAGGCACTAACAGCTGGAAGGATGAGGGAAAGTGGCTCCGAAGGAAACTAGGGATCCCTAGAGACCAAGGTAAAGAAGGAGAACATTTCAGGCATGTAAGCAGTGAGTGCAAAGGCATTGTGATGAGAAATGGAGTGTCATATATGAGGAATAACAAGAATATACATGTGAACAGTAAAGTGTAACTACAATTAGGCTATTGCAGTAGTGTAGGCAAGAGACAATGAGGGTTTGAATTAGGTGATGGCTGTGTGAGTGAAGAGAAGGGCTATAGATGCAATAGATATTGTGGAAGTAGAAACAAGGCTTGAAAAGTAATTGGATGCACGAAGCAAGTAAGAGTTAAGCTTGATGTGCCCTTGGGGTGTTCAGTTTAGAATGTGCACTCAGCACTGGTGATGTGGTATTGGAACACTGGAGAGAGACTAGGGCGGAGTGTGTGTGTGTGTGTGTGTGTGTGTGTGTGTATGTGTGTGTGTGTGTGAGTGTGTGTGTGTGTGATCTGTATACATAGAGGTGATTAAACCCACAGGATCTCTGAAATTACCAAGTAGAAAAAAGTAGAGGAGACGGTCTAATGTAGGCTTGGCACAGTTAAGAGCAGTGATGTGGATAATAATTTGTATCCTTAGATATAAAGGAGACTGAAAAGGTAGATAAGAACAAAGAGAGAAGTTTGTCACATGAAAATCCAGAGAGAAGAGGGTGTTCAGTAGTGTCAAATGCAACAGAGAGACCAAGAGATTAAGAAAAGACTATCAGTTTTAATTTAAAAGATCATTGGTAACTTAGAAGAGAACAATTTCAATCGATGATGATGTTCAAACCAAGCCAGATCGCAGAGCGGGAGAGGAGAGGAAGTGGAGATAAGGAGTATAGATAACTTTTTCTATGAGTTTGGCTGAAAAAGAGAGGGAAGATACAGCAAGATAAGTTGAGATAAATAGGATCTAATGAAGTCTCTTTTTTCAGTATACTGTTGTAATCATCTGTAAATTGTTCTCCTTGGTTTGCTTATTTTGTTCCATCTCAGTTCCTACGTGTTTCCATATTTCTTTAAATCTTTCAGTCTTCACTTCTTATGGTGCAATACAATTTCACTTTGATATACCACAATTTGTCCAGCCAGTTCTCAGTTGGTGGACACCATTTTGTTTACTGTTCTTTGCTACAGCAAAAAGTGTTGCTATAATGACAATAGTAACTAGCTTCTATACCATTGATTTATTTAAGGTTTGCAAAGCACTTTACAAATATCCCGTTTTATCTTTACAACAGCCATGTGAGATAGGTGCTGTTATTATCCCCCTTTTTTGCAGATGACTAAACTGAAGCAAAAAGAGGTGAAATGACTTGCCCAGGGTCATACAGCTGATAATTATATGAGACAGGATTTTAATTTAGGTCTTTCTGACTCCAAGGCCAGGGCTCTATCCACTGTGCCTCCTAGCCACTGTAAATATTCTTGCTCATATGAGTCCTTTTCCTCTCTCCTTGCCCTCTTTTGGTTGGGCTAATGCCTAATATTATAACTAGGTTAGTGAAATCAAGTCAGCAAGTATTTGCTTAGCATTTCCTGTATACCAGGCACTTTGCTAAGCCCTGGGGATACAAAGAAAGGCCAAAAAAAAGAAGTCTCTGCCCTCAAGGAGTCCACATCAGAGTCTAATGGGGGGAGTAACATGCAAACTACTATGTACAAACAATGTATATACAGGATAAATTGTAGATCATCTTAGAGGGAAGGCACTAGCATTACAGAAAATTAGACTTCTGTCATAAAGGTGGTGAGATTTTACATAAGACTTCGGGGAAGCCAAGAAGCAGAGATGAGGAGGGAGAGAATTCCAGGCATGGGAAACAGCAAGTGAAAATGCCCAGAGGTAGGAAATGGAACTTCTTGTATAAGTAACAATAAGGCCGGTGCCATTGGATCTCAGAGTATGTGGTTGGGGTATATGGTGTAAGAAGACTAGGAAAAAAGGGGCCAGATTATCAGGGCCTTTGAAAATCAAACAGAAGATTGTATATGTTGTTCTGGAGGTGATAGGGAGCCACTGGAATTTACTGAATAGGGGCATGACATGGTCAGACCTGTATTTGAGGAAGGTTTTCAGGGGTGGAGAAAGACTTGAGGCAAAGAAACTGACCAGAAAGGTATTATAATAGTTCAAGTTGTGAGAGCCTGCACCAAGGTGTTGGCAGTGTCAGTGGCAGAAGGGGGCTTAGTATAGCAGATGTTATGAAGGTAAACAGAACTTGGCAGTTGATTGGATATGGGGAGTGAGAGAGAATGAGGAGTCAAGGATGGCTCCCAGCTTGGAAACCTAAGTGACTAGGAGGATGATAATACCCTCAACAGTAAGAGGAAAATTAGGAGGAGGGGAAGGTTAATGAGGTTTAAGAGTGTGTAGTGCCAAGTTGTTTTTAGAATCATTGAACCAATCCAGAACTCCACCATCAGTGGTTTTCTTCCAACAATTGCTGTTTTTTTGTTTTATCATTTTTGGCATTTTGATGGGCAGGTTGTTTTAATTTGCATTTCTCTAATTGTTAGTGATTTGGAGCATTTTTCACATAATTGTTGGTAGCTTGCTTTTCTTCCTTTGAGACTTCCTGTTCATATCTTTATCACTTATTTACTGGAAATAGTCCTTCTTCTTATATATTTGTATAAATTCTTTAGGGTAGCTAGGTAGTGCAGTGGATAAAGTGCTGGACCTGAAATCATGAAAACTCATTCTCCTGAGTTCAAATCTGGCCTCAGACATTTGCTAGCTATGTGGCCCAGGCCAAGCCACTTACCCCTGTTTGCCTCAGTTTCTCATCTGTAAAATGAGCTGGAGAAGGAAATGGCAAACCACTCTCCAGTATCTTTGCCAAGAAAACTCCAAATGGAGTCATGAAGAGTTGAATGTGACAGAACAATAACAAATAAATTTTTTATGTAGTTGGGACATTAGACCTTTATCAGAGAAATTTTCTATGAAGATTTTTCCTAATGTAATTGTTTTACTTTTGATTCTGATTGTATTTATTTTGTGTATGCAGTTTTCCAGTTTTATGTAGTAAATTTGTCTATTTTGTGTTTTATGATCATCTCATTTACATGAATTTCCCCCCGTCCGTTGTTACGAAAGGTATCTCCTAGTGAGAATTTTTTGTAAGCATGGGGGAGACTTATAGGTAGCCAGGAATGAATCAGTAGACGAGAGGTTGAAGATGAGAGGTAGGGTGTGATTGTGGGGATAGTCTGTCAGAGAGATAGATGTGGGGATAAGATCAAGGGTACTTGTAGAGGGATCAGA